AATCGCTTGAACAGATCAGCTAAAATTACGTGTGTAAAGTCTCATTTCCCGGCAAGTTCTCATTTTGTTCCTCCTCTGATCTCACCCACCAGTTTATCCCAATTTCTTGTCTAATGAGATGATGACATGGGTTCTTTGTGTCTGCAATGCTCTGCTTCACTTAGGCAGGCCCTCTCGCCCCTCCAGCTTGCCCCATCTCACAGCCTCTGGCATTTTTCATTTTAATTTCAATCTTTCTTGCAAGTACCTTAAATGTGTTCTGTTCTTATAGAATAAAGTCTCTATTTCAAATTGCCATCCTCTCCAGAAAGAAGTTTCATCAAAGCAATCAACTCTTTTTCTGAGAATTCCACGTTTACATCATTGTTCTGAACATTCTTGCTCCTAAGTGGAAGCCACACTTGAGCATGGTCTTTCCACCCATCATGCTTGATTTGTGACTAGTCTGCCTCATATTGTTCTCCATTCTAAGCTTCTTTACACCTTTTAATCCAGACAATGCAATCAGCAAGAGTAATATCTCATTTCTATCCTGTAAAATTTTCTAGAGCAGCAACATATCTTTCTTTTCTTTGGAAGGTACTCACATACCCTTTGCTCAGCAGAGCACTGGAATTATTTGGATTAAGTTCAAGAAATTTCTTTGCGACAGCATCATGGTAACTCTCAAGAATGGGGCAATAAGCTCTGTGACAATAATGCTATGCCTCATCGGCTTTCTGTTCCCCACAGTTGATCAGCTCCACTACCATTGCTCCAGGGTTGGGGGGGGGGTGGTGCTCGTTGACCAGAACATCTGAGAAGCTCCAGGAAGCCTCTGGACTGCTGCAGGTCCTGCTCCGGCCACACCCTCCGTTACAGATTCTGTTAGTGCTGCTGAAGCTGCTACACCTCAGTTATGACCACCATCCCTCCCAGGGGACAACTTCTCTCTGATTTATTTTTATTTTATTATTTTGCAATTCTAGTCCCCTGCTTTCCATCTGTTTCTTCAGTAGGAGAGATGTTCCTTCACAGACCATGGCAATGTATGGAGACACTTTGTCACAATGGAAGTGCTACTGGAATCCAGTGGACAGGATGCTGGGGATGCAGCTAAACACCCTGCCATGCATAGGACAACCCCAGAGAAAGATGATGTGTCCAAAGTGTCAGTCGGCAAATGAAGGAGACCTGATCTGTGACACGGGTCAAAAGCTGCCACTGGAAAATACTTCCTGCCACTCCAGCTGACAGGAAGACTCCAGAGCCCCACTCCCATGGCAGCCAGCAGGCAGAGGCACTGTCTACAGGGAGCACCCAGATTGCCCTGGGGGCTGGCCCTGCAGACAGCAGGCTGCAGAACAGACACAAGACAATGAGAGGTGGCAGAGGAGGTACTGAGGGCTAGGCAGCCTGGCCCTGTGGGTTCAGGCTGTAGAGGGGGAGGTCTGGCCCTCTCTGTGTTTCACCCCCTCCCTGGGTGGCCCAAGGTGAATTGATAAGCTCCTAGTGACTGCCACGTCCACAGACGAGGACATCCGTGAGGAGTCACCTAGAACAGCTCCTTTCCACTGTTCACCTACATTCAAGGGTCCAGAGACATTCGTGTACATGAATTGGCCAAACATGCAGCAGTCAGTGATTTGCCCTTTGCAGCGCTTATCCTATGGTGACAATAATCATGGCACTTACCAGCGGGACAAGAGTCTATCTTGACTCCAAAGTTCCTTGGACTTGTTAGGAGACATCTCAGCCAGTCTGGTCTTTTCCAGCAGAATCTCCCTTTTCTCTGGGAGTTTCATAGACAGAGATTCATCAGGTGGACATATGCATAACAAATAAACAGTTAGCCAAAGGTAAAGGTGGAAAGACCTTATTTTATTATTATGAACCTATAAAGCTAGCGTAAGTTGCAACTAGGAGCACAAAGAGCCTCAGGGAGGGGAGAGCGAGGTTACATGCCTCCCAGGTGGCAGCACAAATTAATTTGCTCTTACATAAGAATAAAAAAATCCTATTAAAAAGATGTAAAATAGTTTACCCTTTACCCTCTAACGTCTATTTGGGGATTTACCTGCGTAATGGAGTAAACATAGAAGAAAGCATTAGCTTAAAGATGATCATAGTACCGTAAATAGAGGTGAAAAGTTAGAAAGCCACGCAAAAGCCAACAGTATAGAATGGCCAGGCAAATAACACTTTATCTACAGGAAGGAATGCTGGGCACTCGTTAATATTTAGGAGAATTACATGATGAGTAAGCCAATATGTCAGATTTTAGAGCAAATGTGAAGACAAAAACAGATTTAAAAATGTGATGTATGCAGCAATCAAACTGACAAAAGGGGCGGGCTAATTAACAGCCAAAGACGAGCTGCAGTGACTCCCTAAGGTAGAACGTAATCTGCTTAACCACTATTCATAGCTCCCAGTATGTTCCAGCTGCTGTTGTACTGTAATACAAACAGCTGTGGCACCAGTGGGCAGAACAGACAAAGATCCCTCCTCATTGTATCGTGGTTCTCTGGAAAGAGACACATGGTGAAGAACAAATCACATAATACACAAGACAACATATAGTATAATTTTGCTGACATATATATCAGAAGCAGTAAAGGCTCATATCTTAGGTGTGCTCTCTATAGGTTTCGTGTGTCTACTCTTAACGGCATAATCCCCACCCAGATCAAGAGAGAACATTTGCAGCACTTTTCAAGGAAAATCAGCGAATAACCCAACATACACAGGGTCATCGCTTATCTGACCTCCAAAGCAGTGGGTTCACTTGCATGTTGACTTTCATTTAGATGGAATGATACAGCAAGGACTGTTGGTCTCTGCATGATTTTGGTTAATATGGTATCTGTGAGAATCACCCATTTGCTGCATGTAGCAATGGCACATTCAATATTCCTTGCTACATAGTATTCCGTCATACGACCAATGGAATTTTTTTTGTGTGTGTGGGAACCTCATGGGTGGCCGGGGATCAAACTGGTGCTGCAGAGGCTGCGGGCAGCCTCGCAACCCAGAACTCAACCACTGCGCCACCAAGGGAGACCCAATGGAATTATATTAATAAGCCACCCATTGTCTATTGATAGACATTTGGTTGTGGTCACCTATTACTATTTCAAATTAGTGTCTTGAACATTATTGAGTATACAGTGGAAACCCAAGGGCAGAGGGGAAATGTATGTTTAATTCTAGTAGATGCTGCTGGTATTCCAAATTGGTTGCCTCACCAGCAGTGAATGACAGTTGTGTTACTCCAAAAATTAAAGAACAATTATTGATCCACTTATTTTTTTTTTAATTTTTTTTTTAATAGAGGCATGTTTATTTATTTATTTGTTTGTTTGTTTGTTTTGTTTATACATGCACTGGGTACAGTCAGAAGCATGGGAGGGTGAGAGAATTCACCAGAGCCAGAGCAGGGAGCAGAGCAGGCAGAAGGACCGAAGTACACTGCTGAGGGGAGCAGCGGGCGGCAGGAGAGGTCTGTGCGCCATGTGGGACCCTCCTCCGGTGGCCGGGGAGCAGCCGGGGATCGAACCGGCGCCGCAGAGGCCGCGGGCAGCTTCGCAACCCAGCGCTCAACTGCTGCGCCACCGGGGAGGCCCCTTATTGATCCACTTAATTTGGCTTGTATTAGTATATAATAATATCCTACTGTGTTCAGAACTTCTCTGATATCTAAAAAGAACATATTGGATATATTTGGTTATAAAATGCTTAGCCCTTTTATCATTGAGATATATATACATTTGGGATAAGGTGCATTTGATGATTTGCAATAACAACAACTCCCAGCTGAACTTTGAAATCACCCCAAATCATCAGCAACTTTCTGGGGAGCATGGTTTGAGAGATCCTGATCTACTAGAAATTTCCCCTTCAGCAGCCCACTCTGCAGTGAGATTTAAAGTCACTTGCAGGGCCTCCCCAGTGGCGCAGCGGTTGAGCGCTGGGTTGCGAAGCTGCCCGCAGCCTCTGCGGCGCTGGTTCGATTCCCAGCTGTTCCCCGGCCACTCCCCGGCCACCAGAAGAGGGTCCCGCATGGCGCGCAGATCTCTCCTGCCACCCGCTGCTCCCCTCAGCAGTGTATTTCGGTCCTTCTGCCTGCTCTGCTGCCCGCTCTGGCTCTGGTGAATTCTCTCACCCTCCCGCACTTCTGACTGTACACAGTGCTTGTATGAATAAATAAATTTTTTTTTAAAAAAAAGAATGTATAATATACAAAACAAAATAATTAAAACAAAAAGAACTTTAAAGTCACTTGCAGAGGACGCAGAACGAGGGATGGCGCCTGAAGAACCTTGTGGAGACTGACATGCTCATGAATGGAGTGAAGTGGGAAAACATCCGGCCCTAGATTCCCACAGAGTCCTTGGATTCAGATCATCAGAACGGCAGAAAGAACCTGAAACCATCTGAAGATTAGGGGAAAAGTCCATCTGCAAAGTGATCAAGTCAGACGCCATCACCTTGTCACCAGCAACGCTGGATTCTAGAAGCTGAGTGATCCCATCAGGTGTCTGAGATCTTCATCCGAGAATTCTAGACCCATCAGACTATTAGATCAGTGAACACCTGCACAGATATTTTCTCATGTGCAAAACTAAGGACATTCCTCCCAGGGCACCCAGGAAAATGAGGGCAACCAAGAAGCTAGGGCCTGCCTGACAGCTGTGCAGTGGCCTGGAAAGGCGCCTGGAAATCCCTGAGGGAAGAGCAGGGATGGAGGCACCCATAGCTGTGATGAGGTCACTCACTGCAGAGGGGACAATCCTGGTTCTCTCCCCTGGGGTGGGGGACTCCCCTTGTGGTCCCCCATACTAACACACACAGCTGTGCAGAGCCACGGGCCCTCAGAGGAGAGTTAATAAAGAGGACACACAGGCCCAGGAAGGGGCCTCCCTCCCATAGAGAGCCCTGCCCCAGAGGCAGATAGGAACAGAGTCTCAGCTGCCTGCTACCAGCCACAGCCCCTGCCCCCAGGCACTGCCAGGCTTCCCAATCAGCCCCTTGGAAGCTACAGAGCCCAGGAGGCCTGGAAGGAATAAGACAAGACAGAGCAGGTGTGATTAAGGCTTTACTGGGGATCAGGCAGGGCTGGTGGGCTCCACGCTGGGAGAGCAGGGTCAGTACAGAGGCCAACACCGGTCTTCAGGGACTGAGCTCAGGACTGAGCTCCGCAGGGCTCCAGCTGGTTCCCCAGAACAGAAGCAACCACTGAAAGGAGAATATCTGGTGGTCTTTGGTGTAGGAAGGATAATGATGAAGTGGACTTTGCTGAAGAAGAAGGGGGTGCTGTAGACCTTCTAGGGATTGATAACTGAGCCTGGGGAAGTAAAGGTGCCAAGTAATTACTGATGGAGATAAAATGAGAAAAGAACAAGGCAAGTGAACTGTGGGTGCAGCGAAGTCCCAGCTCTGTCGCAAGAACAGACTGGTTCCTCACTCACAGCCCTGGCCCTACAGGGCCTATTTGTTGCCCCACACGGCCATCTTGGAAAACATAGGGCGAGGCAGGTAACGGCTGGACTTCATGTAGGCGGCCATCTTTGGCAGGGCCTGAGGGTGGAGAGAGGGCCAGGTTAGGGTCTGCAGCCCCATTACACAGAATAGATGACTAAAGAAGCACTGGGTTTTAGGCCCAGGTACAATCCTTCCTTGTGGGGTCCAGGGTTGGGGTTCGACACAGTCTTTTTGAGGTCCCCAGATCTATGAACTAATGCTTCATTAGCAGTAACTATGTGATATCTCTGTGAGACTCAGCCTATAAGGAAAATCTGCACTGTGCTAAGTGCTTTAAATCCACCAGAGATCATGACATCAGTTTAGAATCCACCAACTAATCTATTACTCTACCAGCTAATCTACTAATCTACTGAATCCACCAACTAATCTACTGATAGGTTTTACTATCACCATTTGTAAACAGGGAAACTGAGGCACAAACAGGTGCAGCAGCTTCCTCAGCTCACACAGCTAGTGAGTGGGCAGGGCTGGCATGCATCTGGCTCTCCCCAATTCTGGGTCCTTTCTGCTGCTCTCCCCTACCCCTCTTCACAGGTGTGTGGGCTCCGTACCTCATAAATGTTTCCTTTCTCAAAGAGAGGCTCCTGGCTTTTCAGAGTCTACTCAGTGCAACCCAGGGCAAAGCAAGGGGTTCAGATTATGCCCCTGAAGCTTGAAAAAGAGACCAGATCTCACCCAGTGACTCAGCAAAACTGGGAGGGAAGCTGATAGGGAGGAAGTGGAGAGGAAGCCAGCAACCAGGCGCTAATTGTTCCTCTGAGAAGAGAATGTCTAAGACTTGTTTTCTGAGTCTACCTGACCTCCTGCCCAGTCCTGCTCAGCCAACTTGGCAGAAACTCAAGTGTGTTTGGAAAACATTGTCCAAGAGAGGGAAAGTGGGGTCAGGAGGTGAGAGAGAGAGAGAGAGAGAGAGAGAGACCATGTTCTAAAGGATTCAAAACCTGAGCCCTTCCTACCCAAAGTGCCAGACACCAGCTGCAGGCAGAGGCCACAGCTCTCCTGCCTCCCTCCCTGCCTCAATGGTCCCCAAACTTAGAAAATCCCCAGAGGATCTGCCTGGGCCAGCACCAGATCTGGTAAGTCTTGCTGGGAAAGCAGGTATTTTGATGGAAGGAGAAAGAAATAAGGCTGTCGCCCAAACCGTTAGCAACAAGAATCTGAATTTGTAACAAGGTAGACTTTTTTTCTCTGCACAACACTAAAAGTTAAAATCCACAGGACATGTGAAGTGAGTTGAGGCCCTGCTCCTCCAGCACCCAGTTGGTCCTACACACCCACAATCCCTGAAATTCTCCAACTGCACTAGCACAGGAGGGTGGGCTCCAGGTGGGGTCACCTGTGCATCCCCCACTGTGCCTGTCCCAGGGCCTTCTCCCCAGGAGAAGATCAGATCAGTGCATATACCTCATCTTCAGATAGAATCCGAGTAATTGGAAGAAAAGAAAGGAAAGGAAATCATATCAATAAGAAATGACCAATAAATCCATCCCCTGGGGCACTTATACTTCTACCTGGGATTTCCCAGCACCAAGTACCCTCTAGGGACACTCAGTGCTTCCCCAGATATGGTGTTGGTCACTGCAAAGCTCTCAGGAGAGGGACAGTGAACAGCGTCTGTGTCTCTACTTACTGTCAACCCCACCAGGCCTCAGCTTTCCTGCTTCCAGCCACACACACGGTCCTCCGCCAGCTGCCTCACCCGCTGTAGGGAGCTGAGCACCCAGCCTGGAAAAGGCCCTGAGGCTTATCTCTTTGGCCCAGTACAGGGAGAGCCACTGTGGCTGCCCAGGGAAGTCAGAGACTGAGGGTACCCAGCCCAGCCCATCCTGCTCTGTGAGCTGAGGAATTCTTATTCCCTCCAATTGCTTATCTACAATATAGAGGAGATATTTCTCCTACCTTGTAGGAATGAAGTAAAGATTAAATATGACAACATGTAAGATACTGAGCAGAGATCCTGGCATGCAGCAAGTCCTCACAAAACACTAGTGTTTCTTCTTAGGGCCCAGGACTAGGAAAAGACCGGGACGAAGAGGTGCGAGCGCAGGAGAATCTGGGAAATCACCTCAAATCGAGCCATGAATTCCTTCAGGGCTGGGAACGCATCCAGGCACTTGGGCTCGAATATACGCAGTCCATCAAGGAAGTCATAAACCAAGAAATCCACATAGGTGATCTGCACAAAGTAAAGGATGAGAATGTACGAATATGGGGAGAATGACCCCCCGTCACCCACAGCCCCTGCCTTTACCTTGTCCCCTGTAAACCACGTCCTCTTCCCCAGAAACTGGGAGTATTGCTTCACCATGTCAGGGATTCCTTTCAGGTAATCAGGCTTCAGTTTCTCCTGAGGTACGAAACAGCTGTCACCCCTCAGACACAGACCCCTGGGCAGAGAGGCACCTCCCAGGGGCTTCCTGACCCCCAGTTGCGTCCAGTGAGCAGCCATGGACCCCAACTGTGCCAGGTAGGGCCCAGCCATCTTTCACCTAACTGTGCTCCTGAGACTCCTGCTGGGCCCCCCATCTGTGAGCAAGGGGAGGCAGAGCAGCAGCATCTGTCCCCGCATCTGTCCCCACAGTGTCCCCCCCTCCATGGGCCACACCCAGGGGAGCTGTGAGAACAACATAAATCTGAACTACATGGATAATCAAAGAACGAAAATACTTGACAGTGAAAGTAGCAAATTCTACTGGTGGATGACAGCAAGATGGGGGGACAATTGTGGAGTATGTGATGAAATGGGGAGACTCTGAGAGGGTGATAAGGAGTTGCAGAGGAAAGAGGCCCTGAGACAGTCTGGCTGCCTATGTGGCAAAGCGCCAATGCCAGGGGTTTCAAGGAGATAGTGTTGGGCGATCGAGGTAAAACTAGGAAGAGAATTTAACACCGGGAATTTGGGGCTTCTTGAAAAAAGGAAACTTGTCAGTTTTCAGATGACACTATTTGGGGTTCTGAGGGTCACACTGATGGTGGATAGGGTACCTTGTAAGAGTCAGTAACGCTAATGAATTCAGATGCAAACACAAAGTCCAGTCTCCTTATAAACCCTGTCCAGCCACGGGAGGGGACTCACAAAGTCAGAGTTGTAGCTCAGCCTGATCAATTGCATGCGGGTGTCCATGACCTGGTTCTCCAGAATGTCTATGCGAATCTTCTGCTCCTCTGTCTCCCCACCTGCAGCCACACAGCACAGCTCACCCTCAGCTCACCACCCAGACCCACCTATGGACCCAGCCACTGGCCCCCCCGCACACACCCAGCCCCACTCACACAGGTTGTGCTTGCGGGCGATGTAGCGAACAATGGCATTGCTCTGGGTGATCCTGTGAGCCCCATCAATTAAGTAGGGCAGCTGCAAAGGGATCAGAGGCAGGTCGCGTGGGCCTCCTGCATCCCTGCACCCCCAACTTCTTTAAGGGATGAGAGAAGATCTGGCTCTCACAGGCCCACACCAGGTACCAAATATTCATGTGTCCAGTAGTGAAAGAGCTGGACCAAGAGCGTCATGGAAGGCAGTGCAGAGAGCCAGGCAGCTGAGGGCTGCGCAGAAGGCACTGGTCCCAAAGCCCCTGAGCAGGGACAGGAGGTGGAGGAGACAGACACCCTCTCTTTGCCCACATCACCCCAGCCCCGCACCTACATTGGGAAAGTCCAGGCCCAGCTTGAATTTTTCATTCAGCCACTGGCTTCTGTCATAGTCGGGAGCTGTGGTGGAAAAGACGAAGGAAAACAAACCTCCCCTAAGTCAAAATTCTGCTCTCAGGAAAACCAACAAACCAGTTCAGGCAAGACCCACTGGAATCTGAGGTCGCACATTGTACTTTAGGGGAAAGCAGGTCGCACATTGTACTTTAGGGGAAAAGAACATTTACAAAGTTTGTAATCACAGGATGAAGTTTCACTCAGGGGTAAAACAAGTCCTAAGGGGGAACTTCCAGCTACTGTTTGGGGCCCCAGACATCCCCTCTCAGATTCTGCTTTGGAAACCAAGCTGCACCCTCAACGGGGCTTAGAGAAGGGGAGGGAACAGGTGGCCAGGGAATGGGGTGCTTTGTACAAAACAGCATGATGTGGGAAGCAGTGAGGACCAGAGCACATGATTACCGTCGCCCATGCTGTACTTCTTCTCCTCATACTTTGAGTCTGTGTATTCCAGGAGCAGGCGGGCGGTGTGCGCCAGCTGGGAGGATGCAGGGACAGACATCAGAGATTTGGTTGGGGGGAGGAGAGGATTCTGATTGAATCCTCTGCTGCAGGTAATCCCCCAGATACACAAGCCAGCTGCCCCCCTTATGCACACAAACACACACACACACACTCACTCCTACAGAAGCATGAGATGGGTCCAGCTCCAGCAGGTCCTTAAAGGATACTTGTGGTATAACTGGTCCCCCTTACTAGCCTTTCCCTGCCTTGCTGCACCATCCCACCCACCCTGAGACCTGGTTCACCCAAGGTAGAACCCTTGCTCACCCCTCTGATGTCCCAGTAACCCAAGATCATGGCCATGCTGCTGGTTTTCTTGCTCTGAGAGGACCTACACAGAGCAGGACTAGGACTTTATCCTCTCTCCAGGGCTCTGGCTGGTTATACACCACCAGCCTTGGCCCCGCCCCCAGCCTCCACCCCACTTCCGTCCTGAGATGAGGAAAACAACCCTGGGATTGGAAGAAACATGATCCTCTTCAGCCTGGCAGCTCAGAAAACTGAGCAGAGAATTGCTTATCCAGGTACTAAATGCCAACTGGCTGGGCTTGCCTGTTTCTCTGTTGGCTCATGGCTTCCCCAGACCCACTCAGAACTCTGCTGTGCCAGAGGGAGTTTCATTGAGCTGTGGAGACAGGCTTGAGTCACAAAAAACAAAACTTTCTTCCCTCCTTTTCCTCTAGACAGTGCTCAGTCTCACCCAGGGGCTGCAGATTCCCTCAGGCACTGGGAGCTCAGCCTGCCAAGTTAAAAATAAGGAATAGTGTCCTTTTTCATTAATTTCTCCCAGGTGTATCTGGCTTGCTACCAGATCCGTATTAATAACAAGTATAGAAACACAGTAAGGGAATCCTGAGCTACTAGAATCTTCCTCAGCATCTCAGTCTGCAGTGGGAATTAAGGTCGCAGTGGACAAAGGTGGAGACCTGAGGTGAGAAGCTCGTGCATGCTGTGAAGGGGGCAAACATGCAGAGTGAGGGGTAACCAGCAACCCCAAAACTTGCATGCTCTAAAAGGGCTAGCCATCCATGCAGAAAAGACAACCATAATGTAAAAGAACTTTAATCAGATTAGTGTAAAAAGAGAGAGGAGTTAAGAATATTCCAAATAAAACATCCCAAGTTACCCATGCTGTTGTGGGTAAATGTCAAGACAACAGGGCTGGCCCAAAGTGGGGCCTAGTCTAAAGCACCTTCTGGTGGGAACCACAGAAACGGAGCACAAGGAGCCAGGTAAGTCTGGCATAAAGGAGCAAAATCAAAGCCAAATCAAAAACACAGCTGCCACCATCAGGCTCCCCATGTGCCCCTCACCCCTGTGTCCCTCTTCCAAGTGTCTCTACATGTGTTTCCTCCAGGTGTCTCCACAAGTCCTCCAAGTCTCTGGTGCAACTGCAAAGGCTAGAAGCAAGAAGGCCTTCTCCGTGGGTCTCCCAGGCCCACCTGCCTGCCCTGTGGTGTAGCCCCACCTGGCGTTCAGCTCCCACCCTTGTTCCCAGCAGCCAGTCCAAGGCGGCTGCATATAAGTGAGGGCAGGGAAGGCTCAGGAAGGGGCCTCCCTTCCAAAGAGAGTCCTGCCCGAGGGGCAGACAGGAACAGTCTCAGCTGCCTGCTACCAGCCACAGCCCCTGCCCCAGGCACTGCCAGGCTCCCCAGTCAGCCCCTTGGAAGCTGCAGAGGCCGGGAGGTCCGGAGGGAATAAGACAAGACAAAGCAGGTGTGATTAAGCAATTACTGGGGCTCAGTCAGGGATGGGCGGACTCCACGCAGGGAAAGCAGTGCCTGCACACAGGTCAATACTGGTCTTCAGGGCAGAGCTGGGAGCTCAGGTGGACGCCACCAGGCAAAGAGACCACTGAAGGAAGGATGGTCTGGCTGCCTTCAGTATGGAAAGCCACCAATGAAACGTGGTGTGTGTAGAGCTTTAAATGGTCTGCAGGATTAGTGGGATGGGGAAGGAAAGGCCTAATGTGGCCTTGCTGGGGACACTTGAGGGCAGATATCCATCTGGCTCAGGGGTGAAGACGCATTCAAAGCCAGCAGCAGCTCCACAGAAAGGGCTCTTTGTCCCATCTCTGGTCTTCCAGGGCCTATTTGTTGCCCCATACAGCGATCTTCGTGTACACAGGATGCGGGAGGAAGCGGCTGGACTTCATATAGGCAGAGACCTTCGGCAGGCCCTGAGGGTGGGAAAAGAGGGCCAGACCTCACGTCTATTGCTGTTTGGCACATCAAGGCCTAGAGAGTCACAGGAGTTCAGGACTCTGACAGACCTTCCTCTGTGCCAAGTCAGGAGGTATCAGACAATCTTTCCGAGCTACTTATGTCTGTATTTAAAGCCTCTAATTTCTGTAACTAATGCCATCTTTCAAAATTATGACTTAAAAGATTCTACTCTATGAAAAGTGCCTTAATTCCACTAGAGATTAGATTCCAACAGGGAACACACATGATCACACTTGTCTATCACACTTACCAGAAGGGAAACTGAGGCACACACAAGTACAGCAGCCTCCTCGGCTCTCACAGCTAGTGAGTGGGCAGGACTGGAATGATCTGGGCTCTCCCCAATCCTGGGGTCCTCTGCAGCTCTCCCCAGCCCCTCCTCACAGGGCCTGGTCTCCCCGCCTCACAAATACTCTCCCTTCTCACAGGCAGGAGCCTGGCTCCTCAGAGTTGTCCACAACTGGGCTCCCAGCAGAACCCAGGGTTCAGATTATGCCCCTGCATTTTGCAAGAGACCAGATCTCACCCCATGACTCAGCAAAACCAGGAGGGAGGCTGAGAGGATGTGGAGCAGGAAGCCAGCAGCCCAGGCACTAATTTTCCAGTTAAAGGAGAAGCACCAAAGGCTTGTCTTGTGGCTGAGGCCAAGCTGGGTCAAGAAGGCAGGGACTCAGGTGTGACTGGCCACCGAGTTTCAGAGAGAGAGGGAGGAAAGAGACTGTGTGTGTGAGCACGAGCCTGTGTTCAAAAGGATTCAGATCCTGGGACTGCCCAACACATTGTTCCAGACACCAGCTACAGGCAGAGACACCAGCTATGGGTAGAGACACCAGCTACAGGTAGAGACACCAGCTACAGGCAGAGACATCAGCTACGGGGTAGAGACACCAGCTCTGCCACCTCCCTCTGCCACTTCTTGGTCCCAATTCTTCCTTTATCCCCAAGGTTGACCTGCCAGGGCAAAAACAAGAGCTGACAAGATCTAACTAAGAAAGCAAATCTCTTCCAGTGAAGCCAGGAAATCAGATTATACAAATGAGGGATAGTGTTCTGAGTATAGGGCCTCCCTGGTGGCACAGGCAGTTGAGCGCAACGCTGTGAGGCTGTTCACAGCCTCTGCAGTGGCGGTTCGATCCCCGCTGGCCACGGAGCAACCCACATGGCACAGCAGACCTCTCCTGTCTCGCCCGCTGCTCCCCTCAGCAGTGTATTTCAGTCAGTCTGCCTGTTCTGTTCCCCACTCTGTCTCTGTGAATCCTCTCACACACACCCCCACATCTTTGGCCTGTACCCCAGTTTTTATATAAATAAATCTTTAAAAAAAAATCAGTTTAAAAAAAAATGTTCTGAGTATATAATTTCTTTGCATGCAGTTAACCAAGGGTGACTGATGAGGAGCTGTGAGTGAGTACAGGCCATGCTCCTCTGTGTCCAGTCTGTCCCACACACCCACACAGCCTCATCCCTGTAATTCTGCAACCATGTGGGGCAGGGGGGGTGGCTCCAAGACAGGGTCACCTTTGCATCCCTCCTGTCCCTGTTTGGGCCTCATACCCAGGAGAAGATCAAATCAGTGAACATGAGTTAAAATAAGTGGAAAACTTCTCTTTACATAAACAGCAGGGTAACAAGGATGAAGTAAGGGACACAAGGAGAAAGAAAGGTCCCACTAATAGAACAATCAAGATAAACCCTTCCCGGGGCACCTACATATGTAATCAAATTTCAGCCCAACTACAATTCAGGGGTGCAAGTCCTCAAAAAAAAAATGCTAGTTTTTCTTCACTTTAGCTCCTTCTAGAAGAATAGCAGTGAAATTAGGAAAACAGAAAGGGGTATCAGGGGAATCACCTCAAAGCGGGTCATAAAGTCCTTCAGGTTTGGGAACGCATCCAGACACGCAGGCTCGAAGATGCGGTGCAGGTCAAGGACATCATAAGTCAGGAAATCCACATAGGTGATCTGCAGAGGGAGAGGGAGGATGCAGCAAATCTGACCCCTGGAAAATGACAACCCCCTACCCCCACAGCCCCTCCCTACCTTGTCTCCCACAAACCAAGGCCTCTTCCCCAAAAACTGGGAGTACTGCTTCACCGTCTCAGGGAGTCCTTTCAGGTACTCAGGCTTCAGTTTCTCCTGAGGCACAAAACAGCTGTTACCCCTCAGACACATCGCTGGACAGAGAGGCACCTCTCCAGGGGGGTCCTGACCCCCAGTTGCCCTGGGTGAGCAGCCATGGACCCCGACTGTGCCTGGTAGGGCCCAGCCACCTTTCATCCAACTGTGCTCCTGAGACTCCTGCAGGGCCCCCCATCTGTGAGCAAGGGGGAGGCAGAACAGCAGCATCTGTCCCCACATCTGTCCCCACTGTGTCCCCCACCATGAGCCACACCCAGGGCAGCTGTGAGAACCTGAGAGTTATAGACTACATCCGGCAGAATCAAAGAATGAGGAGCTAAAATGCCTGGGAAAGCAGTCATAAGATCCACTAATCACAGAACTTGATGGGCCCTAAACAGATTTGGGGAGATGAGGAGAATATGAGAGGCTGAAAGGAGGAGCCAGAGGTGAAAGGTCCTGAGCTCACCTGTGCTGCCTCCTGCACAGTGTGCTACCGCCTGAGAGTTTCGGGGAGAGGGCCTGGGCGTACAAAACCAACTACAGCCCGTGAAATGATGCCCGAGTCCCTGGATTCTCTCCTGTGACGGATGGGGAGACAGTCAAAGGTGTTCATCTGACGCATTCTGGAGGGACAGGGCTCACTCCGGTGCAGGCGCAGGGAACACTTGGAGGATTACTAGCTCCAAAAGTTCAAGTACAAACTGACCAGAGTATATGGAATGCAAGAGTCCAGTGTCCTCATAACCCATGCAGCCCAGCAGGTGGGGGACTCACAAAGTCAGGGCTGTAGCACACCCTGGCCAGCTGGTTAGCAGTGTCCATGGCTTGATTCTCCAGAATGTCCACGCGAATCTTCTCCTCTTCTGTCTCCCCAGCTACAGTCACACAGCAGAGACTCACCTCAGCTCCCACCCAGACCCTACAGACACTGCCACTGGGCCCCGCACCCCACCAGCCCCACTCACACAGGTTGTGCTTGCGGGCGATGTAGCGTAGGATAGCGTTGCTCTGGGTGAGCTTGTGAGCCCCGTCAATTAAGTAGGGCAGCTGCACAGGAAACAGGGACAAGTTGCTTGGGCCTCCAGCTCCCCTGCACCCCCTCATGAACAAAAGCAGACAGGAAAACTGGCTCTCACAGCCCCAGGCCCACACCAGGTACCAAATATTCATGTGTCCAGTAGTGAAAGAGCTGGACCAAGAGCATCACGGAAGGCAGTGCAGAGGGCCAGGCAGCTGAGGGCTGAGCAGAAGGCACTGGTCCCAAAGCCCCTGAGCAGGGACAGTAGATGCTGGAGACACCCTCTCTTTGCCCACATCACCCCCAGCCCCGCACCTACATTGGGGAAGTCCAGGCCCAGCTTGAATTTTTCATTCAGCCACTGGCTTCTGTCATAGTCAGGAGCTGTGGTGGAGAAGGCAGAGAAACAAAGCTCCCCTAAGTCAAAATCTCCTTCTTGGGAGAACCTACAAACCAGGAGAGGCAAGATCCCCCTTTCAGCTATCTGGAATATGAACCAGGTCTCACACTGTAGTTTGAGCTAAAAGAACATTAAAAGGTTCTGGAATCACATCAGGGTCACTCGGTGGTGAATAAGCCCTAAGGGGACTCTCCCAGCTACTGTTTGGGGGCCCAGACTGTCTCAGGTTCTGCCTTGGAAACCAAGCTGCACCCTCAAAGGGGCTTAGAGAAGGGGAGGGAACAGGTGGTCAGGGAATGGGGTGCCTGGTACCAAAGCAGCATGAGGGGTGCAGCAGTGAGAACCAGAGCACATGATTACCATCGCCCATGCTGTACATCTTCTCCTCGTAGTGTGAGTCTGTGTATTCCAGGAGCAGGCGGATGGCATGAGCCAGCTGGAGTGGGAGGTGCAGGGACAGGTGTCAGAAGTGGGGGGAGTGTGGCTGTGAATTCTGATCCGGGTAATCCCTCATATACAGGCAGGCTGCAGTTCTCAAGCTTTCTCCGGCCTGTACAGGCTCCTGCACGTGAAAACACACACACACACTCCCTCCAGCCCCCTCTCCGGCCTGCACAGGCTCCTGCAAGTGACCACACACACACACACTCCCTCCCTGCACAGGCTCCTGCACGTGAACACACACACACACACACACACACACACACACACACGTGCGCGCCCTCCCTCCCTCCAGCCCCCACTGCCTCCTCCCTCTGGAAGTTAAACAATAAGCTGGCCCTTAAAAGTACCTCTTAGCATAACAGGTCCGTTTACCAGCCTATCCCTGACTTTTTGCCCCATCCCACCCTCCCTGAGACCCCTAGCTCACCCCTCTGATGTCCCAGTAACCCAAGGTCATGGCCATGTTGTTGATTTTCTTGCTCAAAAGAGCACCCTCTGCAAAGCAGAACTAAAACTCCTCCTCTGCAGTGCGCTGTGCACCAGCCTCCAGCCTTGGCCCCTCCCAAACCTCCACCCCCACCCCTTCAGCCAAGAAGAATAAACAGCCTGGGACGGGAAGCAACTTGATCCCCTTCAGCCCTGCAGCCCAGAGAGCAGAGCAGAGACCTGCACATCCAGACACTAGTGCCACCTTGCTGGGCTTGGCTGTCTCCCTCTGCCACTGGCTCTGTGGCTCCCCCAGACCCACTCAGAATTCTGCCATGTCTGATGCAGTTTCATTGAGCTTGGAGACAGGCTGGAGTCAAAAACGCCAAACTTGGCAGCAGCCCTTGCACCCACCTGTGACTATGCAGGTGTTGTTCCTCCCAACCTCCCTTCCAGGGGCAGCTTTTTCTGCCTGCTTGTGTCTGTGCAAGTGTCCTTTATGCGTCTCTCCCCTTTTATAATAAACCTGCCCTTTTGGCTATAAATTTTTAAAAATGCAAAACTTTCGCCTCCTCTTTTTGCTGGAGACTCACTCAGCTTTACCCCTGCAGAGATTCCCACAGGCGTTCAGAGTTCATTGCCAAGTTACACCTAAGGAGAGTCTTTTATTGATTTCTCCCTGCTGAATTTGGCCTGATAAGGCTCCACGAATTAATAACAATTATGGAAACACAGTAAGGGAATCGGGAGCTATTAGATACTTCCTCAGCAGCCCAGTCTGCAGTGGGATTTAAGGCCCCTGCAGTGCATGCCAGAAGTGGAGCCTCATGAAGCAGGTGGAGACCTGAGCTGAGTCGCTCATGGGACAGCGGGCAGTGGGAAGGTGTCGCCTAGATCTTGTGTGCTCTGTGACTTGGACCCTCAGAATGGTAAGGAAAAGTCTTAAAGCCTTCTTCAGATTAAAAATAAGTCCCTGGCCTCCCTGATAGCCCAATGGGTTGTCTCAACGCTATCAAGCTATCACCAGCAACTGAGGCATGAGTTCAATCCCCAGCCAGGGAGCTGACCCACATGGCGCAGCAGACCCCTCCTGTCGCACCTGCTGCTCCCCTCAGCAGTGCATTTCAATCAATCTGCCTGTTCTGCTCCCCACTCTGTCTCCGATGAATCCTCTCACCCCCTCATACCTCTGGCCTACACCCCAGATTTTGTATGCATAAATAAAAAATAAATATTTTTTTAAAAAGATTGAAAATAAGTCCCATCACCAAAAGATCAAGTCAGACTGTCATCTACCTTGGCATTTCCAACTCAAAATTCTAGAAGCTGTAATTTCATCAGCAGTTGAGATCTTCGCCCCAGACTTCTAAACCCACCAGATTATTAGATCAGTGAATACCTGCATAGATATTTTCTCATGTGTTAGATAAGGACATTTCTCTCAGGGGACCCAGAAAAATGAGGGGCAACCAAGAAGCAAATGCAGGCAGCCTGGAGAGGCGCCTGGAAACCCCTGAGGGAAAGGCAGGAATGGAGACACCCACAGCTGTGATGAAGCCACTCACTGCAGAGGGGACAATCCTGGTTCTCTCCCTGGGGTGGGGGACTCCCCCTGTGGTCCCCCACACTAACACACACAGCTCTGCAGAGCCACAGGCCCTTAGGGGAGAGTGAATGAAGGAGACACACAGGCCCAGGAAGGGGCCTCCCTTCCACAGAGCCCTGCCCGAGGGGCAGACAGGAACAGTCTCAGCTGCCTGCTACCAGCCACAACCCCTGCCCCAGGCACTGCCAGGCTTCCCAGTCAGCCCCTTGGAAGCTGCAGAGCCCGGGAGGCCCCAAGGGAATAAGACAAGAGCCAGAGCAGGTGTGATTAAGGCTTTACTGGGGATCAGGCAGGGCTGTGGGCTCCACGCTGGGGGTACAGAGGGGCAGGGTCTGCACACAGGCCAACACTGGTCTTCAGGGCAGAGCTGGGAGCTCAGGGCTGAGCTCTGCAGCTGGGGTCTCGCTAGTCACTTGAGAATAGAAGGAACAGCTGGAGGGAGGATCCCCTGGCTGGCTTAGAGTGGGAGGGCGGCTGGTGGATGGAGAGGGGCCGACACTAAAGAAAGTAGGGTTTTGGGCCTCCCCTGGTGGCACAGAGGTTGAGCTCTGGGCTGCAAGGCTGCCCGCAGCCTCTGTGGCGCCAGTTCGTTCCCCAGCCACCAGCGAAGGTCCCACACACACACACAAAAAAAGAGTAGGGTTTTGAAGAGCTTTAAAAATTCTAGCAGGGCAGGGTGAGTGCCTAAGGCTACAGTGAGTGTGAAAAGAAATAAAGAAAAGAATAAGAGGGGTAACTCTCCGGGTGGGGGAAGCTGAGGTGTCTCGGGGCTCTGAAACAACACGCACAGAACCGGCTCCTTCCGTCCATCCCTGGCCTCACAGGCCTATTTGTTGCCCCACACGGCCATCTTTGAAAACAGAGGACATGGGAGGAAGCGGCTGGACTTCATGTAAGTGGAGATATTCTGCAGGCCCTGAGGGTGGAATGAGGTCAGATCAGGCTGTGCCCAGAGCCCAGTGCAGACACACTCAGTGGGGCCCTGGAATCGGCCTAAGGTGAGAGGCACAAGACAGTCTTTCTGCTGTCCCTACCTGGTAAAATAACTCTTCCAATATTACAATTATTGTGATATAGATTAAGACTTGCTATTCATAGACTCCACACTGTGCTAGATGTTTAAAGGTTCACATGAGATGATGACATAGGTTTATAATCCACCGACATCCCTATGTGATAGGCTCTATTATCACAATTTAGCACCAGGGAAACTGAGGCACACACAGGTGCAGCAGCTTCCTCAGCTCACACAGCTAGTGAGTGGGCAGGGCTGGCATGCATCTGGCTCCCCAATTCTGGGTCCTTTCTGCTGCTCTCCCCCACCCCTCCTCACAGGGGTCTGGGCTCTGTGCCTCACAAATGTTTCCTTTTTCAAAGAGAGGCTCCTGGATTTGCAGTCTGCTCAGTGCAACCCAGGGCAAAGCAAGGGGCTCAGATTGTGCCCCTGAAGCTTGAAGAAGAGACCAGATCTCACCCAGGGACTCAGGAAAACCAGGATGAAAGCTGACAGAGTGATGTGGAGCTGGAAAGCCAGCAGCCCAGGTGCTAATTATTCCCTAAAGGAGAAAGTCTAAGGCCTGACCTGGTGCCTGAGTCCATCTATCTCCTGCCCAGTCCTGCCGCAGCCACTTGAGTAGAGACGCAGGGGTGTGTGGGCACCACCTTCCCAAGGGAGCAAGTGCCCATACATCTAAGGGATGCAGGATGTTGGGACTGGATGCAACAGGCCAGGCCCCACAAGCTGTAGGCTGCACACAATATGTTCCGCCCCCTCCAGAGTGGGCCAGCTCCAAATAACCCCAGCGGGGATCAGCCAGCGCCAGTCCAGAGCAGAGAGAATTAGCTGTTAATATACATTCGTAGTGATGAGTGGGAAAGAAAACAGATTAGAGCTAAAGAACCTGTTGGGCTAATGCCTCTAATTGTCATTCTCAAAAAAAAACAAAACAAAACAAAAAAAAAACTGACCTGTTTTTCTCTAGCCAGAGATCTAAGGGTGACAGATGAGGTGTGAGTTTAGGCCCAGCTCCTCCAGCACCCAGTTGGTCCCACACACCCACAGTCTAGTCCCTGAAATTCTCCAACTGCACTAGCCCAGGGGGGTGGACTCCAGGCGGGGTCACCTGTGCATCCCCCACTGTGCCTGTCCCAGGGCCTCCTCCCCAGAAGGTCAGATCAGTGCATATGAGTAAAATAAATGTGCACCCCATCTTTCAGACAGAATCTGGGTAATCAGAGAAAAAGAAAGGGACATACAGAGCACAGGAAATCACACCAATAAGAAATGACAAGTAAATCCGTCCCCTGGAGCACTTATGCCTCTACCTGGGATTTCCCAGCACCAAGTACCCTCCAGGGATCCTCAGTGCTTCCCCAGATATGGTGGGGTCACTGCAAAGCTCTCAGGAGAGGGACAGTGAATATCATCTGTGTCTCTACTTACTGTCAACCCCACCAGGCCTCAGCTTTCCTGCTGCCAGCCACACACACACACACACAGTCCTCTGCAGTCTGCCTCTCCCACTGTTGGGAGCTGAGCACCCAGCCTGGAAAAGGCCCTGAGGCTTTTCTCTTTGGCCCAGTACAGGGAGAGCCACTGTGGCTGCCCAGGGAAGCCAGAGGCTAAGGGTGCCCAGCCCAGCCCATCCTGCCTGTGAGCTGAGGAATTGCTTGTCCCTCCAACCTGGGTATCCTCCTGTGTAAACTGAGGTGATAAATCTACATGTTTGTCAATTTTTTTGCAAAGATTACATTGAATGCAATATATGCTAAGCAGAGATGTGAGCATAATGCATGTCCTACAAAAATACTAGTTTCCCTTCCTTTTAGCTCCATTCTGAAAAACCGTCACAGAGAAGACTGGAGATAAAAGTGAGGTACAGAGTTAGGAGGAGCAAAAAAAACACCTCAAAGCGGGTCATGAATTCCTTCAGGTTTGGGAACGCATCCAGACACGCGGGCTCGAAGATGCGGTGCAGGTCAAGGACATCATAAGCCAGGAAGTCCGCATAGGTGATCTGCAGAGGGAGAGGGAGGGATGCAGCTAGCTCTGACCTTAGGAAGAATGGGCTCTCCCTGTCCCCAGTTCTTGCCTTTACCTTGTCTCCTGCAAACCAAGGCCTCTTCCCTAGAAACAGCGACAAATGCTTCATCTTTTCAGGGAGACCCTCCAGGAATTCAGGCTTTAGTTTCTCCTGAGGCACAAAGCAGCTGTCACCCCACAGACACAGGTCCCTGAGGCTCCCTGAACCCCAGCTGCCACAGGTGAGCAGCCATGGCCTCCAGCTGCACCTGGTGGAGCCCGAACCACCCTTTCACCCAACTATGCTCCCGAGACTCCTGTGGGGTCCCCCCTCTGCAAGGGCGAGGCAGAGCAGCAGCATCTGTCCCCACATCTGTCCCCACTGTGTCCCCCCTCTCCATGAGCCACACTCAGGGCAGCTACATCTGCCGGACTACATCCAGCAGAATCAAGAATAAAAAACTAGTATTTGAGAAAGGAGTCATGAGATCCACTAATTACAGAATTTGATGGACCCTGAGCAGATTTAGGGAGATGAGGAGACTGTGAGGGGGAGGAGCTGAAAGGGAGGAGCCAGAGGTGAAAGGTCCTGAGCTCACCTGTGCTGCCTCCTGCACAGTGTGCTACTGCCTGGGAGTTTTGGGGAGATTGTTGGGGATACAAGGTAAACACACTGCCTGGGAACTCAACTGAACCCTGGGAATTTTTGACACATCTTGGTAATTGAAAATTGAGTCAGAATTTCACTATGACAAAATCCAGAGCTGTAAAGGTCATTCTGGTGGCAGTTTAGAGAATCCCTATAGGGCTGGCTGCTCTCAGGAGGACAAATGAAAAACCAGACCAGAGTCCATGGGACATATATGTCTGTCTCCTACCAAAACCATGGCCCGCCAACAGGTGGACTCACAAAGTCAGGGCTGTAGCAGGTCCTACCCAGGTGCATGCGCATGTCCATGACCTGGTTCTCCAAAAGGTCCACGCGAATCCTCTCCTCTTCTGTCTCCCCACCTACAGCCACACAGCACAGCTCACCCTCAGCTCCCACCCAGATCTGCCTTAGGCACACAGCCACTGGCCCCCCCCGCACCCCACCCAGGCGCACTCACACAGGTCGTGCTTGCGGGCGATGTAGCGAACAATGGCATTGCTCTGGGTGATCCTGTGAGCCCCATCAATCAAGTAGGGCAGCTGCAAAGGAATCAGAGGCAGGTCATGTGGGCCTCCAGCTCCCCTGCACCCCCAACTTCTCTTTTTAAAAAGATTTATTTATTTATTTATACAAGCACTGGGTATAGTCAGAAGCGCGGGAGGGTAAAAGGATTCACCAGAGCCAGAGCAGGGAACAGAACAGGCAGACTGACGAAATACACTGCTGAGGGGAGCAGCGGGCACGGCAAGAGAGGTCTGCGCGCCATGTGGGACCCTCATCAAACCGGCACTGCAGTGGCTGCGGGCAGCTTCACAGCCCAGCGCTCAACCACTGCGCCACCAGGGGAGGCCCTGCACCCCCAACTTCTTTAAGGGATGAGAGAAGCCCCAGGTCCAACCAAATAAACATTATCTCCGATGAGTGAATGAGCTAGAATATAGAGCATCGCAGAAGGCAGTGCAGAGGGCCAGGAAGCTGAGGGCTGAGCAGAAGGCACTGGTCCCAAAGCCCCTAAGCAGGAACAGGAGGTGGAGGAGTCACCCTCTCTTTGCCCACATCACCCCCAGCCCTGCACCTACATTGGGGAAGTCCAGGCCCAGCTTGAATTTTTCACTTAGCCACTGGCTTCTGTCATAGTCGGGAGCTGTGGTGGAGAAGACAGATAAACAGACCTCCCCTAAGTCATCATATTGTTCTCAGGAAAACCCATAAACCAGTACAGGCAAGACCCCCCCTAAACAGGTGGATCTGGAATCTGAACCAGTTCTCATATTACAATGCTAAGGAAAAGAACAAAGCTCTAGAATCACATGAGCTCACTCAGGGTTGAACAAGCCCTAAGGGAACCTCCCAGCTACTATTCAGGGACCCAGTAATCCCCTCTCATGTTCAACCTTGGAAACCAGGCTGCACAAAGAAGCTTAGGGAAGGGGATGTAACTGGTGGCCTGGGAATGGGAAGCCTGGCCCCAAAGCAGCATGAAGTGGGAAGAAGTGAGAACAAGACCACATGTGATTACCGTCGCCCATGCCGTACATCTTCTCCTCGTAGTGTGAGTCTGTGTATTCCAGAAGCAGACGGACGGCGTGAGCCAGCTGGGAGGATGCAGGGACAGAGGTCAGACATGGGGGATCATGACTGTGAATTCCCTGCTACAGGTAACACCCCCACACACAACCTGGCCACTCTCTCTATGCCCAAGTGGAAATACACACACACACACTCTCCACAGAAGGGTAAACAAAGAGATGGACAGAGCTCCAGGAAGACCTTAAAGGAAACTTGCAATATTGCAGGTCTCTTTACCAGCACTGCCCTGCCCACCTGCCCATCCCACCTGCCCAAAGACCCCTTGCTCACCCCTCTGATGTCCCAGTACCCCAAGATCATGGCCATGGCTCTGGTTTTCTTGCTCCACGAAGGGCTCTCTGCGGAGCAGAATTAGGTATTTATCCTCTGACTGCGCTCAGGTGTGGTCCATGCACTTTGCCTCCAGCCTTAGCCCCACCCAAACCTCCACCTCCAACCCCTCCCCTAGATGAGGAAAGCAGCCTGGGAAGCAGAGGAATATGGTTGCCCTCCGCCACACCTGCCAGGAAACCCCTGAGCAGAGACCTGGGCATCCGAGTACTAAATGCCACCCGGTCTGGGCGGCTGTTTCCCGGGCTGGTTCCGTGGCCCCCTCAGTCCCATTCACTCTGCCATGTCAGAGGGACTTTGGGAAACAGTTTGAGTCATAAAATGCAAAACGTTCTCTATACCTTTTCCTCTGAACTGTGCTCAGCCTCACCCCTGGGTTGCGAAGATGCCCACAGGCTCCCAAGGCTCAAAATGCCAAGTTAAAATGAAGGAGCCGAACCTGCCTGATACCACACCCACAACTTACCAACAATTACAAGAGCGTGATCTACTAGAAAATTCCTCTTCAGCAACTCGCTCTGCAGTGGGACTTAAGATCACTTGCAACAAATGTACCAGGAGGATGGTCCCTGCTGAAGCAGGGGGAGGAGACCTGAGCTGAGAAGCTCATGGCAGAGCATGAATTTGGGCAAACATCAGGCCCTAGAGCCTCATGTGCTCTTTGGACTTGGATTGTAAGAATAGTAAGAAAAAGACATTAAAGCTTGTTAAGTAAAAAAATGAAGTCCAGAATCGAATAGAAAATCCAGAAATAAACCCACAGATTTATGGTCAGCTAATCTTTGACAAAGGAGCAAAGACTATGCATTGGAGCAAAGAAAGTTTGTTCAATAAATGGTGCTGGGAAAACTGGGTCGCTACATGCAAAAGAATGAAGCTTGACCACTACCTCACACCATACACAAAAATCAACTCAAAATGGATTAAAGAACTAGACATAAGACCTGAAACCATAAAATACATAGAAGGAAATATAGGCGAAACACTACGGGATTTGCTCATCAAAGACATCTTTACAGACACATCACCCAAAGCAGTGATAGTGAAGGCAAAGATCAACAGCTGGGACTACATCAAATTAAAGAGTTTCTGACAGCAAAAGAGACAATAACAAAAACAAAGAGAAACCCCACCGACTGGGAGAACATTTTTGCACCCAACACTAATGATAAAGGACTGATCACAAAAATCTGCAAAGAGCTGATGAGACTCAGCAACAACAAAGAAAATAATCCAGTCAAAAAATGGGCAGAAGAGCCAAAAAGAAACTTCTCTGAAGAGGAAATGCAAATGGCCAACAGGCATATGAAAACATGTTCAACATCACTTGTCATCAGGGAAATGCAAATCAAAACTACCATGAGATACCATCTCACACCAGTGAGAATGGCACATATTAAAAAAACTAGCAACAACAAATGCTGGCGAGGGTGTAGAGAAAAAGGAACTCTCCTGCACTGCTGGTGGGAGTGCAAACTGGTCCAACCACTATGGAGAGCTGTGTGGACATTTCTGGACCTACTGAACATAGAGCTTCCACATGATCCAGCAATTCCACTCCTAGGTATTTACCCAAAGGACACAGAAACATCAATTCCAAAGAGCACCTGCACCCCAATGTTTATAGCAGCACTATTTACAATAGCTAAGCTTTGGAAACAGCCCAAATGCCCAAAAATAGATGACTGGATCAAGAAGATGTGGTCCATATACACCATGGAATATTACTCAGCATTCAAAAAAGATAAACACGTGCAATTTGCAGCAACATGGATGGCGCTGGAAGGGATCATGCTCAGCGAAATAAGCCAGAAAGAAAAAGAAAAATACCGGATGGTCTCACTCATAGCAGGAATCTAGAAAACTTAAATAAGGGACCAGGATAATGAATAACTATAAGAAAGTGAAAATCAAAATCAACAAACAACTATGAACCAGAGACACTCTATGGGGGGTGGGGGGTAGGAGGGGAGGGATTGGGGTCAAAATAAGGGGGTTGCAATTGTATGGGGAATATAAAAATAAAATTTATTATAAAAAAAAATGAAGTCCAGGGCCTCCCTGGTGGCACCAGGGGTTAAGCACAGCACTGTGAAGCTATCTGCAGCCTCTGCCGCAAGAGTTCAATCCCCGGCCAGGGAGCTACCTACATGGTGCAGCAGACCTTTCCTGTCTCGCCCTCTGCTCCCCTCAGCACTTCATTTCAGTAGATCTGCCTGTTCTGCTCCCCACTCTTGTCTCTGGTGCACCTCTCACCTCTGGCCTGTACCCCAGTTCTTTATACAGCATTTGTCAAGAAGGTCAAAAGCCAAGAAACCCCCACAGGTATCTGCAGAGGGAGAGGGAGGGATGGCACCAAATCTTGTCCTTGGAGGAATGACAACCCCCTCCCTCCAGAACCCCTCCTTTACCTTATCCCCTGCAAACCAAGGCCTCTTCCCCAGAAACTGGGAATACTGCTTCACCATCTCAGGGAGTCCTTTCAGGAACTCAGACTTCAGTTTCTCCTGAAATACAAAAGAGCTGTCACCCCTCAGACACATCCCTGGGCAGAGAGGCACCTCCCCAGGAGGCTTCCTGACCCCCAGTTGCCACAAGTGAGCAGCCATCAACCCTGACTGTGCTCCTGAGACTCTTGCTGGGCCCCCCATCTGTGAGCAAGGGGGAGGCAGAGCAGCAGCATCTATCCCCACATCTGTCCCCAATGTCCCCCCACCCCACCCCATGAGCCACACCCCCCAGGGCAGCTGTGAGAACCTGACAGAGTTATAGACTACATCCAGCAGAATCAAAGAATAAGGAACTAAAATGCCTGGGAAAGCAGTCATAAGATCCACTAATCACAGAACTTAATGGGCCCTGAGCAGGTTGATGAGGAGAATTTGAGAGGCTGAAAGGAGGAGCCAGAGGTGAAAGGTCCTGAGCTCACCTGTGCTGCCTCCTGCACAGTGTGCTACCGCCTGAGAGTTTCGGGGAGAGGGCCTGGGCGTACAAAACCAACTACAGCCCGTGAAATGATGCCCGAGTCCCTGGATTCTCTCCTGTGACGGATGGGGAGACAGTCAAAGGTGTTCATCTGACGCATTCTGGAGGGACAGGGCTCACTCCGGTGCAGGCGCAGGGAACACTTGGAGGATTACTAGCTCCAAAAGTTCAAGTACAAACTGACCAGAGTATATGGAATGCAAGAGTCCAGTGTCCTCATAACCCATGCAGCCCAGCAGGTGGGGGACTCACAAAGTCAGGGCTGTAGCACACCCTGGCCAGCTGGTTAGCAGTGTCCATGGCTTGATTCTCCAGAATGTCCACGCGAATCTTCTCCTCTTCTGTCTCCCCAGCTACAGTCACACAGCAAAGACTCACCTCAGCTCCCACCCAGACTCACCTACAGCCCACAGCCTCTGCAGCACCCGGTTCGATCCCTGGCCACCGGCGAGGATCCCACATGGTGCACAGACCTCTCCTGCCGCCCGCTGCTCCCCTCAGCAGTGTACTTTGTCAGTCTGCCTGCTCTGCTCCCCGCTCTGGCTCTGGTGGATTCTCTCACCCTCCCACGCACCCCACCAGCCCCACTCACACAGGTTGTGCTTGCGGGCTATGTAGCGAACAATGGCATTGCTCTGGGTGATCCTGTGAGCCCCATCAATTAAGTAGGGCAGCTGCAAAGGGATCAGAGGCAGGTCGCGTGGGCCTCCAGCTCCCCTGCACCCCCAACTTCTTTAAGGAATGAGAGAAGACCTGGGTCTCACAACCCAAGGCCCACACTAGGTACCAAATAAACACATGTCCAATGGGTGAAAGAGCTGGACCAAGAGCACCACGGAAGGCAGTGCAGAGAGCCAGGCAGCTGAGGCTGAGCAGAAGGCACTGGTCCCAAAGCCTCTGAGCAGGGACAGGAGGTGGAGGAGACACCCTCTTTTTGCCCACATCACCCCAGCCCCACACCTACATTGGGGAAGTCCAGGCCCAGCTTGAATTTTTCACTCAGCCACTGGCTTCTGTCGTAGTCAGGAGCTGCGGTGCAGAGAACACAGGTAAACAGCCCTCCCTGAGGCCCAACTTTGTTCCCAGGAAACTGCAAAGGGACCAGCGTCAGGGCCTCCTGCACGGGAGCATGTGAGTCTGAACCCCGCCTCACAGTCCAGCTTTGGGAAAAGGCACTGACAGGGCTCAGGAAGCCACACAAGGAAGGGTCTTCAGTGTAGAGGCAAAGCCCAAAGGGAACGCCACCTAATAACTGTTCTTGGGACTCAGCCCTGCTTGGGGCAGGATGGGGCCTGATGCACCACACTCTTCTCAGCCCCATTCCAGCAACTACCCAATCTCCTGGGCATCCTGGGTCAGAGGGCACCGGGGGCTAAGATCCGGGCTTCTGGAAATAAGACCCTTTTCTACCACCCTGCGCTACTCGTGGACTTGGGAGCCACATTCTGAGGGCTCCTGGGCTCCCCTGCCCCATTCAGGCCTCCTCTAGGTCAGAGGGAGTTGGCAGTGCACTTGGGGGACAAGCCTGAATCATAAAGAGGAAGATTTTTCCTTCTCTTCTCCCTGGAGGCATTGCCCACTCTCTTCCCTGAGCTGCTGACCTCGGTGGCTCTCAAAGGCTCAGACTGCCAGGTGCAGCCAGGGTGGCCTCAATGGACATTAAATCAACAACTATGACAGCAAGACCGGGACACAGGCCAGTCCACAAGTTCCTCCCAGCCTGTGTGATCCACTCCAGCCCCCTATCTACCAGCACAGCCTGTCAGTGGGGAGGGGTTGACCCCCCCAGGACAAGGGGTTGTGGTCTGTGTGGTCTTTTAACAAACTGCAGAGGACCCCGCCCTTAGGTCAAGCTTAGAGAGAGAAGAGCAAACGAAGTAACAGCCTAGCTGGTGACTGCCTTCCTGAGCTGGTCCCAGCCCCAGGCAGGGCATGGAGCTGCACCCCAGGCTGGCCCCCAGCAACATGGTCCTCCCACTGACAGGGACAGAGACTGGAAGCTGGAGGTCCCAGGGAAAGTGCATGAAGGGGGAACTGAACTCAGAGGGGCCAGATGCCCATGTCACTGCACTGGGTGGCAAAGTGGGGTGGCACCCAGATGCCCGCAGGATTCCCCACAGAACAGGGGCAGAGCCAGGCCTTGCAGAACCTCAGGGAGAAGACCCTCAGATTCGTGGACTTGAGCCCTGACCCTGGCTCCTGACCCCGTTGTTGGTTTGGGTATGAGATGGCGGCTTGGGTGGCCTTTGAAGTCACTGTGTCATCTGTGCCCCTGGTACAAACTCCACAAGCACAGGGTCCTACCTGCCAACTGTCTGCTGTGAATGCAGAAACCTATTTCAACTTAAGAGACTCAGACACAGTTCAGCCCTTCTTAGAGGATATTGCAAAGTTTGGTGGATACATGCAGCAAATGAGCTGAACTTTAAAAACAAATAGGTTTACAAGTGAAAGGGCAGGATAGGTGCACTACAAAAATTAACTTAACAACATTTTGTTAGGATAGAAAGGTATGAATTCAGTATTTAATAAAGGTTTCAGGGCCTCCCCGGTGGCACAGCGGTCGAGCACTGGGCTGCGAAGCTGCCCACAGCCTCTGCAGCACCCGGTTCGATCCCTGGCCACCGGCGAGGATCCCACATGGTGCACAGACCTCTCCTGCAGCCCGCTGCTCCCCTCAGCAGTGTACTTTGTCAGTCTGCCTGCTCTGCTCCCTGCTCTGGCTCTGGTGGATTCTCTCACCCTCCCGCGCTTCTGACTGTACCCAGTGCTTGTATAAATAAATAAATCTTTAAAAAATAAATAAAGGTTTCAAACCATCAATATAAAAGTGAGAAGTAAGGATTGAGGACACAGAGACTTACCTAATCCTGATTAAATGCACATCTCACTAAACTGGGACTAGGAAAATATTCACTGGAGGCCAACAAGCTCTGTCCCTGGGGTCGAAACCCCTGCCCACCCCTACCTCCTATTCGTGCCTGCCAGTCCTGGGGCTCCAGTTCTGGGTCCAGGCTCCGGATGCAACCACTAGATTCCCAGGTGGTTTGCCCACAGGGAGGTGGAACAATGGCAGACACACAAACCCAAGTGCTGGCCTGCTAAATAATTGCATTTTTCACAATGCATTAAAGATCTGTCATTCTTGGTTTTATACATCTTGAGCTGCACAGAAACATACTATTTTCCATGAGAAAATCAATTTTTCAAAATCTAGCATGAAATAAAATGACATTTGAAAAGGTTGGATTTAACTTTCATATATTCAGTGGTTTTTTAAAAAAATAATCAATGAGTTCCTATCATAAGAAGTCACTGTGGGGCCTCCCCGGTAGTGCAGCAGTTGAGCGCTGGGTTGCGAAGCTGCCCGCGGCCTCTGCAGCGCTGGTTCGATCCCCGGCTTCTCCCCGGCCACCGGAGGAGGGTCCCACATGGCGCGCAGACCTCTCCTGCCGCCCGCTGCTCCCCTCAGCAGTGTACTTCGGTCCTTCTGCCTGCTCTGCTCCCCGCTCTGGCTCTGGTGAATTCCCTCACCCTCCCGCGCTTCTGACCGTACCCAGTGCTTGTATAAACAAAACAAACAAACAAAAAAAATTAACAAATAAATAAATAAATAAATAAAAGAAGTCACTGTGAATTAAAAAAAGTCCTGCTATTGGACTCTGGAAGTGGGAATTACAAAGGAGGTGGGAATTAGAGGTGGGAATTACAAAGGAGAGAGGATTTCAAATATGGGTCACATTTGTGTGTTTAAATACTGAGAGGAAGTGGAGAGGGGGAGAGGTTGACGCACAAGACAGAAGTAATGCCTGGCAGGACAAGGCACTGCCAACACAGGAGATGGGCGCCAAGCACAAGCTGGTCCCAGAGAAGGAAGAAGACAATTCTGCAGGAGGAGGATCCTGGCCCAGCAGCATCTCAAAGGCAGCTCCACAGGCCCAGAGGTCTTAGTAGTAGGACCAGCGTGGGGTGCAAGGCCACCAGAGTAGTGGGGAGCAAAGAAACTGGACAGGGGCCTGAAGGGAGGAATTGAAACCCTGGTGACCTCCCAGAAACTCAGTCCCAATGATTCCTGGAAGGAAAACAAAGCAGGTGGTAGCCATAGAGGCTGGTGGTGGGCGGCATAAAAAGCCTGAGTACCCCATGTTCCTTATAAGAACCCATTTTATTGATTCTAAAATTCACCTTTTTTTTCACCTTCTAACATCTCTGAAATCAGGACGTCTTACAACCAAGAGCACATTATGATTTACACAGTAGGGTTTTTTTTTAATTAATTTATTTATGCACACAAGGTCTGGGGCACAGGCCAGAGATGCGGGGGGTGAGAGGACTCACCAGAGACAGAGTGGGGAGCAGAACAGGCAGACTCACCGAAACATACCACTGAGGGGAGCAGCGGGCGCGGCAGGAGAAGTCTGTTGCGCCATGTGGGTTGCTCCCTGGCGGGCCAGGGATCGAACTCATGCTGTAGAAGCTGCAAATTGCCTCATCGTGCGGTGCTTGACCCCTTGCGCCACCAGGGAGGCCCCTACACAGTAGGGTTTTTAAAGTTCTTATTTGTCCATTAAAATAACAGTTCATCTCACAAGTTAGAATAGAGTCTCTGTGCTTTTCTCCTCCACTCTGACTTTTCTGTATACGGTTTCTCAGAGCAGACTTGTGTTTTCTGTTAATATTTTGTTACGCAAAGAGTATAGCTGGCCTAGAACACGCCAGCGTGGCGAGGGAGTGGCACTGTTTGCCTCCGAGGACCTGACATGGAAAATGTCAGACTGACCTGCTGTAGAGGGCAGGATAGGACACAGTGCAGGTTTTCTGATCCAGCAGACTGGGCAAAGCAGAAGTGAGTCCTGGAGACCTCGGTGGCTTTTGCATGTCTTTTATTTAGATTTACCAGGCATATGGCAGGCAGGGGAGCTGGGGGGCCGGGAGGCTGGCAGTCCTCCCAGCCTGCAGCAAATCTTCACTCTATCTGGCCTTCTCTCTACTTCTGCTGGCGTCCCCGTGACACCGCCCTTATAAACTCAGTCTCTCAGCCCAGGTGTACCCACTTCAGGTGCCCGCGATCAGGCATGCATTCAGGACCACAGGGTTCCCTCATCTATCCTAATGGCAGGAGGGCAGAAAAGCCTGATACTTTTACCTTACCCTACACCTTCTGATCAGATAAAGTTGGGACAGAACATGTAAATTAAAAGTTTCAGGGGACTACTGATAACTGTTGTCAAGGCCACATGCCTGATTTATGCATTCCCAGCTGACTGTAGCCCTTGCTACTCTGTAACTTAGTTGCTCAGGGCTCAGACTTTGGAGAAAGATCTCCTCTGGGCCCACTGGTATAAAGCCCACAGGCATAAATAACTTCCCTCCTCCTTTCTGAGTGATGCCTGCTTCCCTGATGGAATTCTGCCATAACAGACCAAGTGGCCAGAGGGTACACTGGTATCAGGAACCTGGATCCAAGGTAGTGACACTGGTTTGTGTCACAGGATTTTAGGATAGGGACCGTGACTAAGATGTCTCTACCCGCCTCCTCACCCACTCCAGGTGGCTGGCTGGTGCAGCAGCACCTTCCACTCTAAAGGAGATTTCTTTCACTTGGAAAGTAAGGACTATAATACCTAATCTACCTCACAAGGTGGCTATGCTTATCAAGTGACAATGATCTGCAGGTGCTAAAGGCTTATACCCACTTCAGTATAAACAGGGACTGGAAGCTGTTGTTAAATGGATTAGATTGAGAATAGAAAGATACACAATGGAGGGCATCCCTGGAGGCATAGGGGGTTAAAATGCAACCTATGAAGCTAGCCACAGCCACAGCAGCACGAGTTCGATTCCCCAGCCAGGGAGCTGACCCACGTGGTGCAGCAGACGTCTCCTGGCTTGCCCGCTGCTCCCCTCAGCAGTATATTTCAGTCAGTCTGCCTGTTCTGCTCCCCACTCCGTCTCTGGTGGATCCTCTCATCCCCTGCACCTCTGGCCTGTACCCCAGTACTTGTATGCATAAATAATGTTTTAATTTA